GAGTGGATGGATGGATAGATGGATAGATGAATGAACAGATGGATGAATGGATAGATGGATAGACAGGCAGATGCAGGGTGATGCAGAGAAATTACCTGGCAACTGCATTTCCCACTTGAGTTTCTCTTGCCGGCGCCATTTGGCTCTTCGGTTAGAAAACCAGACCTGGGAAAGGACAGGGACAATGTAGCTGACTGCGCTTTCTCCCACCTGGCACCTGCTGTTTTCACCACATGTTCCTGGTCTGAACTTGGAAGATAGACCCTTCTTTGGATCCAATATCCTCCCTCCCTGCTGTATTCTTTGCTCTCTGGCCACTTTCCCAACTCAAAAGCTTGGGGTGGAGAAAAGAGGAAAGCAATCAGCAGAAGGGGAACAAGGAGAGACTCATCTCTGATTTTTTGCTCCAAACAAGTTCGTTTACCTTCTTACCTGCCCTGTCCTCCACCCCCCACCCCCCACCATCTCACTGGAACCCAGAGTCCAGCCAGCCCAGTCAGACTCTTCCTCCTTGTTAGTGGTGCACACAATGTCACAGAGTTCACTCACCCTCACCGTGTCCTCAGGCAGAGAGGTGGCAGCGGCCAGTTTTCCACGGGCCACTGAGTCAGGATACTGTCCACGTTGGAACTCTGCAGAGATTGAGGCTTACAGTAAGGGCACTGGGAAGAGGACCAAGGCATGGGTCTCCCCTTAGGCCACACTTCCCGCCTAAACTACACTCCACCTCAAGGCAGGGCCACCTACAGCCTGCACCTCTCAGCCTTTGCCCATAGGCTTCAGGCCACTGCCTTCATGTCCCACCGAGGATGCTCTGACCCATCGTCCGCCCCAGTTCAGCACCTTTCTCCAGAGCCTCAGCTTGGCCTGGGGAGAAGATAGTCCGATTCCGGTGGCCGGTTCCTGGGTGGGGACCCCGGGGAGCCTCAGAACCTCTATAGGGAACAGGGCGAACTGGAGCCAAAACAGCTGCAAAGGAAGACAATGGCTTGTGGTGGCTTGTGATGATTTCCCTGGTCAGATGGGGTCCCCAGGTCCCTGGGGTTGTGACAAGGGGACAACATGGGTGTAAGAGCAGAGCCGAGCTGGTGGGACAGACACAGTCACTTGGAAGTCACTGCGGGGGTATGTGGTGCACAGTGTGCTCAATACCGTGGTGGGATATGTGCTTAGTGTTTGGGGGAAAACAGCAGCAGGGTCAGTCCAGGTGTGTGTGATCCAAAGAACATGAAAGGTGCTCTAAGAAACCATGCATGGTGCAAAGGACAGTATGAAAGACCCAGTCCTGCCTCTTCTTTAGCAGATCCTGTGAGCCCAGGGACCAGGGGACCTGGGTTCTGTTCCAGGACTTGCCATCAACTCGCTGGTGACCTTGGGTAAGTCACATCACTTCTCTGAACCTCAGTTTTCTTCTCCCAGGAGAGAATAAGACTCCCTGCCTGGCCCTCCTTATTGGGCTGTTATGAGGGTGGTCCAAGAGAGAATGAGAAAGGGCTTTGAGAACCATAAAATGTTGAGGATTTGGCTCTGATGTTCTCTGGGGGCAACTCCAAGACCCACCAGGTGACTGGAGCTGTGCCTGGGGTAGTCCCTGGTCCTCCTGTAGCGCACGCAGGACTCGGTTGATGGAGGAGACCTGGGGGTGTCAGGCGTTGAGTCAGAGATGGTGTGCAGACCCAGGATTGCACCCTGAGGAATCCCCTCTCTGTCTCCAACCACACACTGTCCCCCAGAGGCAGCCTCTTCTCTCCCCCATGCTTTCTTCTTCCCTTTCTTCAATACCACCACTCTTCAGAAGAGAAACTCGTGGGTCAGAAGAACCCAGGCACCCCACCTCCCAGCCTGGGATGCCCATGTTGCCCAGTCAGAAGGGCTCTCATTTTCCTCAGACAGCTTGCTTGCCAGCCCCAGTGTGGACAGAGAGGGTACTTACACTAGGAGTTTTGTCCTGGGTGCAAAGCCCTTCAGCACAGAGCTGGCGCTGGATCTCCCAGGCAAAGAGAGTCGGACACTCACCCTTCAGCTGGGTGATTCGAGCCACCACAGGGGGCGTAGCCAGACGCGGCTTGCTCCCCCCAATACCCTTGGGTTCCAAGACACCTGTGCGGTAGTAACGCCCTAGGATCTTGCTCACACAGCCGTTAGATACCTGAGGCAAGTGAGAGGACAAGTGAGACAGGATGGGCAGAAGGAGGAGATGTCCCCAGTACAGACGGTGACTACAAAACAAAGTGAGACTTACTGAACCAGGCCACGGAGTCAAGAGTCCAGCCTTACCTTTGGGGGCCTGAAGTTCCCCTTTCCAGACCCCAAGAGGAGGAAGCCCATGTCCCACAGGCCGCTAGACTCTCGCTGCTTCCTGTCCCCATTGCTGGGAGAAGGCTGTGCCACACTACCTTAAGGCTGCGGGAGATGTCACAGGGCCGCATTCCGCTGACTGCCAGCCTCACGATCTGTTGCCGGGTGTCCAGGGGCAGGGGCCGACCATTCACAAAGAACCCGCCCAGCTGATTCATGTTGCTGAACCCTGGGCATGAGAAAGAGGCCTCGGCACACCACCTCTCCCGCTTCCCCGACCCTCTGTGGGGAGAGTCACTCAGGTTCCTCCATTCTGGCTTCCCACCACAGAGACAGTCCCCCCTCCCCAGGAGGCTGCTCCCTTTCTGCTCCCAGGCTCTCAAACCATGCTGCTTTCGAGGCTGGGCTCGGTGGCTCAGCCTGTAATCCCAGCCCTTTGGGAGGTCGAGGCAAGTGGATTGCTTGAGCCTGCGGGTTCAAGACTAGCCCAGGCAACTTGGCAAGACCTCATCTCTACAATAAATCAAAAAATTAGCCGGACATGGTAGCATGCACCTGTAGTTCTGGCTATTTGGAAGGCTGAGGCGGAAGGATCACCAGAGTCCAGCAGTTTGACTCTGGGGTGACCGTGAGCTTGTCACTGCATTCCAGCCTGCATAACGGAGTGAGATTCCAACTCAAAAAAAATTGTTAAAATAAAAATAAATAAAATAAAATAAAAAACATGCTGCTTTCTTTGGTAGCTGTCTCATGGATGAGCCTTTGCTAGAATGCTCCATATATGAATGGATTCGAATTGGAAACCTTGGTATGAACTCCTATTTCATTTATTTGTTTATTTTTATGTCTATTTTTTTGAGTCAGGGAATCACTCCGTTGCCCCGGCTGGAGTGCAGTGGCATGATCACAGCTTACTACAACCTCAACCTCCTGGGCTCAGGCAATCCTTTCACCTCAGCCTTCCAAGTTGCTGGGACTACAGGCACATCACCACCATGAGCAGTATATATACTGTTTATTTTTTTGTAGAGACAAGGTCTTACTATGTTGTCCAGGCTACCCTCGAATTCCTGGTGTCAAGCAATCCTCCCTCTTCTGCCTCTCAAAGTCCTAGGATTACAGGTGTGGGCCACCCTGCCCAGCCATCTATTTCGTTTAATGTAGATACAAATGGTTACATAGAGAAATATTTACAGATATGTATACATACACTGGCCAGTATATATACTTCTATTTCTTTACTCTATCAGTCAAGAGAACAGAACAGAACTAACACCCCGGCACACCTAGTGCCCAGACTTGGCTTCTCATGTCATTCTTCAAGGAGAGGGGTCAGGCCTCCTTGGAGAAATGACAGATTCAGGAACTGGGGCAGAAAATACACAAGAAAAACCCTTCCTGATCTAAGGAAAGCTGGTTGGAGCAGGGAGGGAATGATTGGAAAAAGTTCCCCCTGGACATGGTCCAACAGCAGATGAAACCATGTTGATAGAAGCAAAGCCCCGAGGTCCTCCCCTGTCTCCACAGCCCTCCCAGCTGCTCCCGCTTCTGCAGACTCCTTACCGTCCTGCTGCATGCTCCAGGTACCTGCCTCACAGAAGGACAGTAGACCCACCGGAAGGACTGGGAAGGGGGTCCCTCCTAGGAACTCTTTATCTGGTTTGGAGGCTGGGTCTGCAATAATATGGAGTTATTTGGGTGAGGTCTCCTGCCTGGAAAGGTCTTGGGATATCATGTTTTATGATAGAGATTCAGGTTTCTAAAATCTGCCAGTAGATTGACTAAAATTTGAAAATCAGAATTCCCTTTACTTAAACCCTTATGTGATGAATTAAAATATCACAGGCCAGTTGAGGACTGAATTTTTCCGGATGTTCTGTAAGGTGCATACATTCATTACAATGGTCAGGGAAGTGGGAAAGGGTGATGCTTTCAAATGCTCAAGATTCTCTTTTTCCAAATGGGCACCTGTTGTCTCTGACTGCTCATAGGCCTTCTCGGCTGACACACTTGAGTCGGAGACCCTGGGGTCTCCAAGTTTAGGGCCCCACTTCCACTGTCAGGTAGTCCCGGGTTAGCTTTCCAAACCACCAGCCAAATGCCTCCTTCAGAGCACTGCAGGAGCAGATACTGCTCCTGTTCTTATACTCTCCAGGAGCCCTGGGGAAACATGGGGCTCAACTCTTGTCTGTCTCCCAGGTACTGGGGCTTCAATCCCACACATTGGACACAGAGATGAACAAGCTGGAAATCCTGGCTTTTCCTAAAGGACACATCTCTTGACATCTATAACCTACTGCGGCTATCGGTTCCTGTTAACTTTGAAGAGCCCTGCATCTCACAACAAAGCTTTAATTTCGGAGACTACCTTTCTGGGATCAGACATTCATCCAACTAACATTTATGGAAGGCATATTGAAGGGAGGGAATGAGAGGGAAGAGAAGACTGTCTGCTGACTGACACAGAAGCCATCATGGGCACAAGAGAGTCTCTTAGCAGCAAGGGACACAGGTCACAGGACACCATGTCTCTCCTGCTGTCATCAGCAATTAATAGGAGTTGAACCTGCCTCCTTTTGTGCCTGGAAACTTGGCAGGGCTGCAGGTTACCCCAGGGAATAGCTTATGCATAGAACTTTCTTGTAATAACCATGCCATCGTGGCTTAGTGAATTCATGTGCAATTATTTATCAAACAAGGCACTGAGCATGAGCACACTGCTGGTTGTTCAGGATGAAACGAGTGAAGAGAAAAGGGTCAAGGTCTCTGCTCTCTGCAACCAGAGGGCAGAGGCTAATGCAAGTGAAATGACAGTGACTTACAAGGAGCATGAAATCCAGAGCTGACTCTTCAGATTCAGTAAGTAGCTCACCTGGCTTTTATTCGCTACTTTCTAGGCAGGTAGAGAGAGACGCATTCCCCTCCAAATGCTCACCTTTCCAGAAAGTCAGGAGGGAAGCCAGAGGTCTTTCCAAAGAGAAAACTGAAGCACAAATTGGGGTTTCCACAAGTCAGGGACCACCCAGAAAGAAAAACTCAAGGTTGAGAAGCCAGTTCCTCACCAGAAGACAACATTTCTGGTTCCTAATCCTGGGCTCTCTTCCTCTGCACACACACACCCCCACCCCCTCCTGCTTCATGTTTGTGTAATTGCCACCAAAACAATGGAGAGAGGAGAGTCAAGCTGGGAATGTAAATGGCAGTGCTAGGGTGAGGAAGGAGATTAGACTATTAGCCAAACCCTAAATCCTTGACAGGACTGGGTCCTCTAGGTGACCAGAACTCAAGAAAGCCGTGGAGATGCCCGTTCCAAATCCAGACCTAAACAGTCTCCAAATCTAAAATCATCATGCCCAACCCACAACCAGAAAGCCCACTGCCAACAGCCACCCCACGCATTCCCAACATTCATATTAACTCGTCTGAAAAGATAACTGGTGCTCGCAGGCGACTGCAGGATGGGGGCAGAGGGTGGGAGGGAAGTTGGGCTTGGCCACACAAAGACATGGAGCTGGCATGGGAGGCAGAGCAGACAATGAGCCCGCAGGTGAGCTACCTGTGTGGAGGAAAGGAGGCGGGTGATCCAGTGGGAGGTTTGTCTCCTCTGCTGGGTTTCTGAGATCCCTGCAGGTGCCAGGGGTGGTGGTGATCTGGTCCTGGTAACAGCCTCCACTCTGCTCCTGCTCCAGTCCTGCCAGGGGGTCCAGAGCCTCAGAGAGCCTGAGCTCAGGAGCAGAGGGCAGCCTTCTGGGAGCAGCCAGTGATGTCACAGGCCATGAGCAGAGGAGAGAGGAGGAGGGAGGTGTGCATGGGCTAACTAACACCAGCCCTGAGGCAGGGCAAACCACAGTCAGTGACCCACTGTGTCCTTCCACAGAGAGTCCTCCCAGCCTACTGTGCGTCCACCTGCCACCCTGAAGCAGGGACAGAACCATCTCCATGCAGGCAGAAGTGCACCCATGAAGGAGCCAGCACTCCTGAAGGGCATAGGGAACATGGAAGACCAGGGACTTCAGATTGTGCCCCTAAGACTTTGAATGCACAGAGGCACAGAGATGGGTGCCCACACACGGACCGAGTTGGCTCCCAACATTCTGAGAGAATGAGAGTGAATGGGGGACAGGGTGGGGGCATAGCCCCCGTTCTCCCTGGAGAGCGTCCTCACCAACTCTCCAATTGGCCCCCGAGTCAGGTGACACCAAGGATGAGCTCTTGCCTGGATTTCAGAACCCTGACAATGATAGTGGTGGCAAGAATGAGCTTTGGAGGATAGTTAGAGATGCACGTGGGTGAGGAGACTTTCTTCCTTCTTCTATCTGCTATCAGGCTCTGTTCCATTCGGGATTTGATGCTTTTAGACTCTAGGTTATTAATGGCACTGCTGTTCCCAAAAAGACACTCCAGGTCATCTGGGTCATTGGTGGGATGAAAGGCACCAGTAGCTGGGCCGGTGGTGCCTTTGAAGTGGGATGCTGGAAGGAAAACACAGCCTTCAGCGCATGGAAGCTTTGTTGCCATCATGGTCTTGGGCAGATCCCTGGGGGCTTTGGAGGAGCCGACATGGAGAGCCTGTGGGTGCCATTCCATACTCAGAGTCTGTGAAATCATTGCAGAAGCCACACTGGATGTGAGCAGGGTGTAGGACGATAAGACTAAACCCAGAAGTCGGAGGGGAGAGGACTGTATTTCACTGGCAAATGCTTTGGATTTGGGGAGGTGAAAGTGGGTGTTGTGCATGCAGCTTGAACCTAGGCTTGGAACTTTGGTTCTCAAAGGCCAAATATCTCACCACAGTGGGCTCTCTGCTTGACCCCAACACATCCCGTGCTCTTCCAGCCTCCTCCAGCCTCCTCAGGCTAACTCGGAGCGCTGGGGTATAGGAGAGACTGCAACACATGGTTTCATAAGGTGGGCAGCACAGCACATGCCCCAGTGCCCTCAGAGTCTCTTCCATTCCAGGGCAGCTGGGCACCGCCCGGTCACTCCACTCAGCCATGCCCGGGCGACGGGAGGTCCCCAGCAAGGCCTGTGATCGTCCTGCTCTTGGTCCTTTCCTGCCTCAAACCTCCCCCTGGAACTGCCCTGTCTCTGGGGTCTCAAGGCTCACGCCCTGACGGGCTATTCCTATGGCAGCTGCATGAGGGTGGAGATAGGGGTGTCAGGGGGAGCCGGGACAAACCCTAGCAGATGGTGGTGGCAGCGATTTCCCCCATAAACTACCCTCTCCCTCCGCCTTTACGACGCACTCTCGGGTCTGAACAAACAGCGGCTTTCCACCCAGAGATGATAGGGGGAGGGGAAAGGGGGAAAGAGCCCTGGCAGGGGGGCCTAGCGGACCCAAAGCCTCAGCCACTCAGCCCTCGGCCCAGCGCGCCAGACTGTTTGAGGAGCAAATATCTGTCTTCACTGTCTGACTCTCTCAATCACCCCCACCAGGTTTGGGGCTAATTGTCCCTCATTAGCCGGGCTCAGGCCCAGGCTGCCGCCAGCCCCCGCCATCTGCTCACAATTATACATTAACTCAGAGGTCTTGCCACCCGCCAGCCAGGCTGTGCGCCCCTCTCCGGGGGCAGCCAGGACCATTCCAGCCTGTGCCTCGCCCTGATGTAGAGTCCTGACCGCCGGCTTCTTCTGCCCTTGGGGGCCCCTGGTATGAAGCCCCGTGGCTGTGGAAAAAAGTCCTGTCCTCGGGAGAGGCGACTGGGGTTCCCCTGCCCTTCTCAAAGGGCCAGAAGGCGAGCCAAGTCCATGCGTAAAGCTGGAGAGGACAGGGCGCGGCCAGCGCAGAGACCCGCTGGCTGTGGTCTGACACCACGCAGCGGGCTCTTGGCACGCGTTGGGGGAGGTAACATCAGTTCCAAGCGGTTCCCACCCCTCCCTATAGCAACTTTCAGCTGGCTGTGGGGTGGTGGTCCCCTTCTCCTCCACCTCCAGAAAGCCCCATCTCCTGCCAGCCCTCCGTTTTCCAGAGCGCACGCGCCACCTGTCCAAAGTCGCTGCCGGCGACCGGCGCCTCCCCTTTAAACTGCTTCCCTTGGACACAAACACCGGGCTTCTGTAAGTTCCCTGGATATTCCTGAACCTGGGATCCTCACGCTCAAGTGGCAGCTCCCTCCCCAAATCTTCATGCAACTACCTACTCACCCCGCAGTCCCTGCTCGAACACCCAAACTCTCTCCCCCAGCACACCCTTGCAGTTTTCCCCTCAACTTCTGAAAGGCCGGCACACGGCTCCCTCCCTCTGAACGCCCACCCCACCCCGGCTTTAAACTGGGCGCAGAGAAAAAAAAACCCTCCCTGTCCCCTCTTTTGCTTCGCGAGTTCTTTTTCTTCACGTTTCTTCTTAGGTCTAGGGTGGATACGGCGGGGTGGCGTGTCTGCTCTCTCCTAGACTAGCTCCCAACAGCGCTGGGGAGCTCCGGGGCTAGAACCCGGTACCTAAGGAAGCTGGGGTGAGGGTGGGGAACCCGTGGGGATGCGAGGGATGTGGAGAGCCCACCTCGGAACGACTGGGACAGGCAGGGGCCGTGCGCCTCCGACCACCCTTGGACTGCACACTCCTGGGGTCTGCCTGCG